TTTGAGTGGAGAGCCTGGTTCCAGTCCCAAGGGGCTTGTTTGTTTCAGTGTTGGCTTGTCTACCAGAAGCCAGGATGTAAGCGGCGACTCTGGCACTGACTTTGCTTCCCATAAAAGCACCCCCTACTGGCCAATACACGGAAATTGTCCTACAGAGGGGGATTTCAAACTTCCCTGAAATTTTTGGCATCTCACATCACTTGCCCACCAAAAATAATGGAATGCTCCAGAAGCTGAACAACTGAGGCTGGAGCACAGGTGACTGGAGCCCTGAGCCTGGCTGGGCTCCAGCGCTGTCACTTGGGAAGGCCTCAGGTAGAGTGACAGTTTCTACTGCCTTGGGAGAAGAGACGGAGGTCTTTACACCAAATCCAATGTCCTTTCATGACATGGTTTATCCTGCCCTGTCCCATATGGAATCCAGGTTATGGTCAGGGTCAAGAGGTGGCAGTGGGTCCCACCAACACTTGAGCTATTCCTGCATTCTTTATGGCCCCTCATCCCTGATGCCCTGAGGAAGCCCATGTATGTGCCCAGTGCCATGAGCAGCCCGGTCCAACCATGTACTTGGGATTTCCATGTACCTAAGGAGTTGGATGAGGCTTTGGAAGAGTGAGAGTTTTCTGATTACTCAACAAACCCAGATCTAAACTCCAGCCCAGACCCTGAGGATGTCAGATCAATAAGTCTCAGGTCCCGTTTATTTCCCTCCCCAGTCTCTCCTTCAGCCTTATCTGCACTATAAAGCAGAGTTGTGACAGTGTGCAGGGCACTGGAGGAGGTGGGGACTCTCAGGCTTCTAGGACTGAAAAAGCACGCTGAAGAGCACCACCCTGTGGAGACGCCGCCCTCTGCCTGCACTCATCTCCCAAAGTGCCCCAGGGTCTTTCCATGGCATCCCAGCTCCAGGGACACACCTCAGGTCCCTGGTTGGAAGTCCTGTGCAGTAACCTCTATTCCTTGAGATTTCTGGGCTACCTCCGAGGATTCCCATCAGACCCCAGGGTCAAAATCCCCCTATATCCAGGCCTCCTCCTCCACCTTCCCAGGTCCGGGAGGTACCATATTTTCCGGCGTATAAGACGACCCCCTAATTTTTACAGTTAAAACATAGGTTTAGGCCTATATTCGCTGTATAAGACTACCCCTCACTTCCGAGGCAACACCAGTTCTTTTTTTTTAATAGACTGCCTCTCTGACTCTGGCCAATCTGAGCAGGCTTAAGCTACACTGTGTTCTAGTACAGTGTTTTTCAACCTTTTTTGGGCAAAGGCACACTTGTTTCATGAAAAAAATCACGAGGCACACCACCATTAGAAAATGTTAAAAAATTTGCCGAGACCGGTTTGGCTCAATGGATAGAGCGTCGGCTTGGGGACTGAAGGGCCCGGGTTCGATTCCGGTCAAGGGCATGTACCTTGGTTGCGGGCATATCCCCGGTGGGGGGTGTGCAAGAGGCAGCTGATCGATGACTCTCTCTCATCGATGTTTCTAACTCTCTATCTCTCTCCCTTCCTCTCTGTACAAAATCAATAAAATATATATATTAAAAAAAAAAGAAAATGTTAAAAAATTTAACTCTGTGCCTATATTGACTATATATAAAGTAATTCTCTTGAATAGGAATCAAATAAACACAAAGAAAGTATTTTATAATTACTTTATTATGAAATATTAAGTAAACAAAATAGTGAAAAATTATAAAATTCTTATCTTGTCTGCACCTACGGCACACCAGGCAACATCTCGCGGCACACTAGTGTGCGGCGGAACAGCGGTTGAAAAACGCTGTTCTAGTAAAAAGCCTGCTCAGATTGGCCAGAGTCAGAGAGGCGGTCTATACAAAAAAGAACTGGTGTTGCCTCGGAAGTGGGGGGTAGTCATATACAGCGAATATAGGCCTAAACCTATGTTTTAACTGTAAAATTAGGGGGTCATCTTATACGCCGGAAAATATGGTATCTGTGTTGTATGTCCTGAAGGAAGAGACTAAGGGGTCTGTAAGGCAGTCTGTATGCCAGTGGTTGGCAAACTCATTAGTCAGCAGAGCCAAATATCAACAATACAACGATTGAAATTTCTTCTGAAAGCTGAAAACCGACTTCTGCCCAAGGGCCACCAAGTTTCAGTTGCGCTGTATGTGCACACCTGTGGCATTTTGTGGAAGAGCCACACCCAAGGGGCCAAAGAGACGAATGTGGTTCGCGAGCCGCAGTTTGCTGACCACTGACCTAGGCCAACAATGGCAAAAATAGGACTTCTGGCCTCTCCACACAGGCCATCAGTGCTGCTGATCCAGTCCGGCGCTCACAGGCCTGCAGTTAGGTTCTATCCCAGCCTCCTATCCCTGGTAGGGCTCCCAGGCCACCAGGCAGCTGGCTGGCAGGATCCTGCACCAGCACCTATGTTTATGTGGTGTGTCCTTGAAGTCTCCTGCAACCCCCTATCTGTCAGGCAGCCTTATCTCCTTCAAGATGTGCCCTAGGCCCTGACTGGGCTGCCTGTGGAGCTGCCTGATGTCCTGATAGCCCGGCCAGAGCAAAAATGGCCAGCAGGCTGTCACGTCTGAGGATTTCAACACCAGCTGTGGAATTTGCAAGTGGATGAATGCCATACTGTGCCCAGGAGCCAGAGAATGTGTTCAAAAACAGCTCCTAGGTATATGTCGCATGGGGCCTTAGTGACACAGCTCCTGGGCATATGTCAGAGGGGGCCTTAGTTACAGCTACACAGCAGCCAACAGAGAACCCTGCTTCTGCTTGAACAATACCAGCAAGGAGGCTAACTGCCTCAGCTCTCATGCCAAACAGAAAATTCCAGGTGCTGAGGAGATGAGAGGAGGCAGATGTGGGTTCTGGGACATCCAAGAAAGCTAGTTTCCTCTTAGAGATGGAAGCTCAGTATGTCCAGCATAACCTGAGCTGCCCGGGCCTCGGCTTGGAGGGCAGATGCGACCATACTAGGAATAGTCCGCATTCCTGCCTGCGCCCGCCTGCAGGAGTCGGCTAGGCTCAGACCCTGGAAGGGCCCCAGGCCTGCTCTGGGAGCACCCGGGATGCCTATTGTGGGCGGGGCCCAGGATGCCTGGCAGGTTCTTATGAACAAAGCTGACGCTGCCATGTGTCCGCTTGGCTCCACCAGACCTGGCTGCAGCTTTGCACAGGCCCAGGCAGTGGGCCCCATGTGCTGGTACTTGTGAAAGCAAGAGGTTCTCTCCCTAACTCTCCACTTATATTGCAGGGCCTTCCAAGATTTTAAACAAAGAGTCCTTGAAAAGTTGACTCCATGGAGCTCACAGAGATCTGCACAAGGAGACAAACCTCAGCAGCAGCCACCAGTTACTCAGCTGCCCCTCTGCCCTGGCCAAGGCATGGCTGTGGCTCAGTTGGCCTCACCCAGCTGCTTCTTCCCTGGAGGAGGGTTTCCCAGCAGCCTCCTCAGCCTTGTGCACATGTGGCTAGACCCGTGAGCCCAGCGTGGGCTTGAGCAGAGTCCACATTTCAAATAGAATCAGACGTTTTCAGTATTAAAATTGCCTCAGGAGACAGTCTGAACTGCCACAGATGCAACCCATTCTCGTCACACGTGGAGCTCAGTGTTGTTGTGGTTATAATAGATCTTGAATTAAATTCATCTAAACCCTATTTATACACTCATTTAAATTTAGAGAGTATAACTTTTCATAAGAACTATTAAACACCTAGAAATTTAATTTTAAAAACTAAGTTCTCTGCTCACAAAAGGATTGGGGGAAAAAATAATTCTAAATTTCTGCAAACTGTAACCATGGCTTTCTAAATCTACTCTAGTAATAAACTTCCATGAAAGGACAGATAAAAATTCTTGTTGGAGGAATGTATCCTGATGCCTGTAAGCTCTCGATGCACACAAAACACAGCCGCTTGGATGAGATGGGTTCACTTATGTTCTTTCTCGAACTCATTCTGGCCAGAGCTGAGATGCAGGATGGGGGGAGCCCCTCTGGGCAGCTGCTCCTGCCCTGCTCACAGCAGCCAGAGCTGAGCACACTCCCCCAGGCTCTGGGGTAGAGAGGACACATTTGTAGGGCAAATTCAACTTTTTCAAATGGCATTTATAGCAACAGGCACATTTCATCCTCTACATCTCTGTGAGGGAAGCGTGATAGGTATTAGCTGCTGTAGAAATAGAAACACAGAAACTCAGGGGAGGTTGAAGGGAAGAAAAGCCCCTGGAGCAGCTGTGCTCAGAGGTGAACCCGCATCTGAGACTGGCTGGGGCCTCCAGGAGGCCTGGTCCCTCGTGTGTGAAGACAGAGCCTGTTTGGCTGGGATGGTGGTTTAGCAACCCATGCTTTGGCCCCACGCAGGAGCCGCTCAGAGCCTGAGTGGTCCCAGTCTAGCTGTACTTTAACAAACAACAGCCGAGGTCCAGCTGTGGGCTTCACACCAGCTCTGCTGCGCAAGGCAAGCCTTAAAGAGGTCAGGGAGAAAGACCTCCATTTCCTAGCAGGTGACAGCCGAGCCTCCCTGCACTCTGTAAACCCTCCAAGGCAAGACATCTCAATATCAGGTTCAGCTGCCTAGTGGGGCAGCGAGGCGGGACCACAGGAACCCCATCGTGCTGGGTCAAGCTAATTTTCTCATGGCTTCAAGTCCATCCTTTTATCCTATTCTTTGAGATGCTGGGCTTGGGATTCTGCAACCCACATTCCTGCTCTCCGGCCTGATAGGCTCTGCCCACAGTGAGTACTAGAGGAAGCCCAGAGGCTGGAGACAGAGGAAGTAGCTCATGTTTGGTTTACTTCCTGTTTATCTCTCTGGGCTTCCTGTGCCTGTCCGTTTCCCTTAGCAATGCTTCTTGTTCATTCAGGTAATGTCAATTCCTTCAGAAGCATTTGAGGATAGCTTTTTGGTTTTCCCAACACGCACAGAATCAAACTCAGCCAAAACAGCCCCCTCCTCACTGCAGGAGCACCATCCCCACGGTGGCTCTCCTCTGAGCTCAGGCACTAGCACTCTCTCACCTCGGGAGCCTAGGATTCAGCCAACACCCCTCCAACTGTCTCACTTTTAGGTAGTCCAATAGCTTCCCTTTGTCCTGTCCACCCGCGGCCTTGGAGGTGATACCTGCTTCCTGTGTTTTCAGTTACCTGGATAATAATTCTTTCTATTCAATTATCTCTAATAATATCACTGGTGTGACTTCTGTCTCCTGTCTGGACACAGCCTAGTTTACACACAGTTAGGTCCCACAAATTGATAGTGGGAACTAGAGCTTGGGCTTCTCAGCCTGAGCAGGGGCAAGTTCGGCCTTGAAGGACATAGTGAAACTTGTGGCAAAAGAAGCTTAATTTCTGTACAATCTTGAGGGGTTGTTGCAGGGACTGCTTGCTAAACATTTAAATGTTTTTCCTTGCTGGCCAGAAGGGAGCTATATGGAAGCATCCTCATCAGAGGTTTTCGAGAGAAGATGATCTTGTTAAAGCTTGCAGTGGGACTTTCTCTGGAATCCATGTGATAGGGTTTGGGCTCTGGGATGACGATGGGACCTGTGGCTGATGTCGAAAAAGCACTCCACACCGACAACAGGGCCTCAGACTTCGAGTCCTTGAATGCCATTTTGCTAGAGTTCTTGGATGACTTTTTCCTTTTCAGCTGGACCATGCTGGACGCCTTGCTCTGCCTATGAGTCCTTCGGCTTTCCTCCAGAGCCTGGGAGCATTCCAGTTCTCTAACTTTGCTTTTCTCAATGAGTCTTTGCACCATTGGGGAGGTATATGTGACATAGGCTGGCCAGGGGTCTTGTTTTTCAAGCAGTTCCAGAGGAAGCCCAATGTTTTCTGTGAGTTCTGCCAACAAAACAAAACAAAATTAGGCAATTTAGAGACTCTCACAGACATTAATTCAATTCTTCAAAGAAGGAGAGGGTATAGGAAGTACATTTTGAACTTCCCTTAGTCCTATAATATTAATAGCTGTCTTACACCTCTGTTAGGGGGAATAAAATTAATCCAAAATTAGAAAACAGAATGACATTCCAGAGAGCATACCAAGTAAAGAACAGCATGATAGTGAGAGCTTGGATCATCCAGGCTGGGTTTCAGATCTTTATATAAGACCAACTTGTTTAGCTCTGAACTTCTATTGTTTGACAATAAAAAAGGTTACCGTAGGCTACAGTAAGGATTAAAACCTGTTAACCGAGCGGGACCTATAAATACGTCAAACGTAAACAATATCGGGAATGGGTAGGATGTATGAATACGTCCTTGAAATATATGTTGTGCCCTGAGAGGGACGGTATATATTTTTTGTAATCTTTATAATTGTTTGTAAAATTTATAATTTTTTAATTCAATGTTTCCATTTTTTTGTTGGTATTCTTTTCTATTTGTTTGTAATTTTGTATTTTCCTTTGTGCTTTATGTATAAATAAACGAAAAAAATATATTTCATTTATTTTAATTAAGTATAAATAAAAAAATAATAATATGAAATTATGTCCTCCGGGCATGACGTACTGACACGTCCTAGTGAAAGAGTACGCGCCCATTACAGGTTGCGTAATTAAAAAAGGAACTCCCTGGTTAACAGGTTATTAAATAATGTGATGCATTTCAGGATATGAACATATGGGCTTCTCACTTCAACTGCTTCTCTGCCACCTTAACAGCTGTGAACTTCCAACAAGTGTTTTTATTTTGTCTCTTTTAAAAATATATTTTTAAAACATAATTTAAAAAATCTTTATTGTTGAGAGTGTTACAAATGCCCTCTGCCTCCCTCCTCCACCCCATTTCCCAGTTCCTACCCCACACCAGGCTTTCACCACCCTATTGTTTGTGTCCATAGGTAGTACATATAAGCATATAAGTTCTTTGGTTAATCTCTTCCCACCTCTCCTTCCCTCTTCCCTCTGAAATTTCTCAGTATTTTCCATGTTTCCATGCCTCTAGTTCTATTTTATTCATCAGTTTATTTTGTTCATTAGATGTCTTGTTCATTTATTTTGATTTTTAGGTTTAATTGTTAAATACAATATATATATCCATTAATATAGATAGATAGATAGATAGATAGATAGATCCATTTTATATCCATTGAGATATATATATATATATATATATATATATATATATATATATCCATTTTATTTTTCTTATTATTTAATCTTTTTCTTCTTCTTCCTAATTGCTTTTCTTTTACTGCTTTTAAGATTCTCTCTTTATCTTAACCTTTGACATTTTAATTATGATGTGTCTTGGTGTGGGCCTCTTTGGGTTCCTCTTGTTGGGGATCATCTGTGCTTCCTGGACTTATAAGTGCATTTCTTTCGCCAGGTAGGGGACATTTTCGGTCATTATTTTTTTCAAATAAGTTTTTAATATCTTTCACTCTCTCATTTCTTTCTGGTACCCCCATAATGCTATTGTTGATACACTTGAAGTCGTCCCAGAGGCATCTTATAATATCTTCATATATTTTTTAATTCTTTTCTGTTTTTGCTCTTATGATGGGGTGTTTTTTGCTTCCTCTATACTAAATTGTTTATTTGATTCTCAGAATCCTCTACTATTGAATCCCTGTAAAGTATCCTCTATTTCAGCTAGTGTATGCTTAGTTTCTAACTAGTCCTTTTTCATGTCTTTAAAATTCTCACTATGATCTTTGAAAGTCTCACTAAGTCCCTTGAAGTCCTCATTAAGATTCTTGAGTTAACTTATAACAATTGTTTTGAACTTTGTCTAGTAATTTGCTTGCTTCCATTTCATTTCATTTAGTTTATTTATTTATTTATTTATTTATTTATTTATTTTGTGTGTGTCTGTGTGTGTGTGTGTGTGTGTGTGTGTGTGTGTGTGTTTCCTGGAGATTTCTCCTGTTCTTTCATTTGTGACATTTCTTTGTATCTGCATTTTGGCTGTTTTATATTCAGTTCTATGCATTAGGTAGAGCTTCTGTGTCTCCTGGAATTGGTAGAGTGGCCTTGTGCTATAGATGTCCTGTAGGTCTCAGTGGCTCAGCCTCCTCATTCACCTGAGCTGGGCATTCTAGGTGTACCCATGTGTGGGGTGTGTTTTGCTATAGTTTAGTCTTGGTTGCTGTTGGTGTCACAGGAAAGAATTGACCTCTAGGCCAAATGGCTTGGAGGACCAACTTCAACTACAGAGGAAGATCTTCCTTGCAGGAGACTCTCCTATGGAGTAGGACTTGCTTGAGTTGGGCTTTTATTCAGAGAGGAAAGGGAAGGGAGGAAGAGATAAACATTAATGATAAGAGAGAATCACTAATCAGCTGCCTCCCACACACCCTCCATGGGTGATCAGCCTGAAACCCTAGGCATGTGCCCTGACCAGGAATCAAACCATGACCTCCTGGTACATAAGTCAATGCTCAACCACTGAGCCATACTGGCTGGGTTCAAACAAGTGTTTTAAACCTTTCTAAACCTTAGTTGCCACATGTAAAATGATGACTCGCATAAGATCAATTTAGGGTTTTCTGTGGATTAAAAGAAATAATTTATGTAAGGTTTTAGTACCATACCTGTCCAGAGAATTTCAGGTTTTCTACAATTCATTAGTTTATATGTTCAGTTTTGCCACTTCTGTGGCCTCTGAACAGGTAAAAGTATCATGGAGCATTTCTGTTCTTACGTGCCAATGCCCATTGAATAAGTCTAAGGTGATTTATAACAAGTTTCCCAGGAGATGCTGATGATGTTGGTCAGGAGACCACACTTTGAGACCATCATTCTAGGAAAATGCTCAAATTTTCATGAGCACTAGAATCACCCAGAAAGCTAGTTAAAACACAGAAGGATGAGTTCTACCCCAGTGGATCTGATTTATTAGGTCTGCTTTGGGGATCTGAGAATGCATTTCTGAATAACAACCAGGTAATTTACCTGGCCTGAGGACCATAATCTAAGAATTTCTAATTTAGACTGAAGAATGATTCTAAACCTTCTTTAGCTGACTTGCTCATGTGTGAAACACTCCCCTGAAATAAGCAATTCCCAAGTGTTCCACCCTTTATCTTTCTACTCAAAGGAAGCTTTGTAGAATACAAGTGAGTGTGTGGTACACAGGAGAAGCCTCAAATTTCACTATCTTTATAAAGTAAATTATTTACAAATGTTAGCATGTTATTATAATGAAAGATAGCATATTGGAGATTTATTCATATTCTTTTTTTTTTTAAGCTAGCTTTGTCAAACCTCTGATTCAGGCCTGACAGAGTCCCTTTTATTGTCTTAGTGAAAATCCTTCATGACAATACATTATTAGGAGAATTCAATGTCATTTTTCTAAGGTGAGGGAAGAAGTAATGCTCAAATAGTCCTCTAACCTTGAGAGTTTCACATAGTAATAAAAAAAAATTGGAAGTGAAAGCATCTTACTTCTTCTAAGACCTACCATGGGATCTCAGAATTTCAGTGCATCGTTACAGGTTCCCAGTAATATAGAGTATGACCCCCAAAATCCCCCAGCCCACACCTGACTACCTACAATGGAATTGACTTATTATTCATATTTTTAGAGCTGGTAGGAATGTGTTTTTACTTCACCTCATATGTACAGTAGGGTTACTCAGTCATGCCACATGGTGACAAAACTGTCTTGAGTTGGTGGTATTTGAGGAATTTTGGATAATTATTTTTATCCTTCCCTCTAAGTTTCTAGTTAATGAACCTTGAAACCTCAAAGAAGTCCAGTTATTAATAAGCTGTTTGTTTCAACATTAATCTACAATTGTATAAGTCACCATCTTGTTCAAAACTCTTCACCATACATTTCTGGACCCTACAGCAGTCCTCTGGCCAATAGCACAATTCTAGAAAATGGCAAGTTTGTCTCCTATCTGCTGACCCAGGAACTAAGAAACTAGAAAATTAAGGGAGCAAATGTTTGAGACAGCCTTAGAAAGCATGGGGAGAACTTATTTGAAAATAAGAGGAGACAAATAGTTGACATTAAGTCTGAAGACAAGCTTTGGGCTTTGACAAAGATTCCATTCTCTCTGTAAATGAAATGCAGACCAGCAGTCTTCAGATAGAAATAGCCCTGATGAAAGGGCAGGAGGCACAACACTGATGTGGTTTTTGTGTTTCTCCCTCAGACTCAGGCCCATGATCCATCCACTGGGTTTTCAATCCTAACTCCTTCCTATCCCTATCCCTTCCAATTTCTTATCCCACCATTTCCAGCATCCAGTCTGATATGCTGGATGTGACCTACATAAATTCAAAAGAGTGACACTTGCATGGAATCTGGCATGAATGCATGAACTTGATCATAATCCTTAACTTCTTGGGACTTCTGTTATCAAACAAGGTGAGGATGAGGATAAATTCCTGACCTGCTTCTCTCACAGAGGACTGCTGTTATAAATATCTGGAAATAAGTGTTCTAAACCAGCGATCCCTCAACTTTGCTGCACATTGGAATTACTAGAGAACCCTTAAATATTCAAATGCCTGATTCCCACCCACAACATTGTGATCGCACTGGAATGGAATGCAACATAGGCATCAGAATTAAATGCTTGATTCTAATGTGCAACAAAACTTGGCAACTGCTGTTTATTTTTTAAATATATTTTATTGAGTTTTTACAGAGAGGAAAGAAGAGACATAGATGAGAGAGAAACATCAGCTTCCTCATGCACACCCCCTACGGGGATGTGCCCACAACCAAGATATATGCCCTTGCCTGGAATTGAACCTGGGACCTTTCAGTCTGTAGGCTGACTCTCTATCCATTGAGCCAAACCAGTTTTGGCAGCAACTGCTCTTTAGAATCTAAATCATAAAACACTGAAGATTCATAGGATATTTGCTATTTAAGAAATGG